GGCTCTCGGGCGAGATCCCAATTCGTCAGTCACGACTGACGTAACGTCGAACGTGACTGACTGAAAGGGAACTATATTTAATGCTGTAGTTCAACTCTAAGCACTAAAACACTACGTTTTCCACTTATATAAGTTATGGCGTTATATAATTACATATTAGCCCCAATGTATCAACTTTTTTATTAACTTGTTGTGTAAATTTAACCAGTTTAAATTACGAGTAGCTTGTATCTAGAAATGTAAGCTTATTCATTGCTTCCCAAATACTGCACTAACCACTGTAGGGATTTCTAGTACATGAACGGACACTGCTATGCTCCTATCAGCCATCAGGAGGTTTGCTAATCAATTAATTTAATTACAGAATACTAGAAGTAAAAGTGAGATAAAAACAGGTTCTAACCGTTGCATCTTCTCCAGACAGAATCCCTGGGTTCTTACTCAGGTCCAGATGAAGAAGAGAGTTAGAGTAGTCATCACTGGAGCACAGGGCCTGAGAAAGAGACGTGACACCTGCGAAGAAAGACAAAGAAAGGCTGAATTACACAGGAAATCTAAAGTCCACTGGAGAAAATGCTTCTATTTTGCATGTTTTAAATATATATATTTTTTTCATTACAAATTAAATTACCTGCACAGCAATTTGAGTGAAATTGGGGAAAAAATTGGGGAATGTCTTTGATATTTGCAGCATGTCAACCATTTGCTTTAATGACCTCATAGGTTTCAAAACCAGATAATCATATTCTCTCGCAAGATTTGAGAATGATAAAACAAGCATCTTGAGCTTTAATGGAAGCAAAATATCTGAGTGTTTGTACAAAGGAGTTTGCATGATCAATGTCACAAATATACGTATTTGGTTAGTGTTGGCATTTCTTCAAATCCCTAACATTTCTTTGTATTTCCAGGATTCAATTATATTTCAAATCCCAAATTTTCAATGTGGCCTCAGACTTTTGGACTGCACTGTATATGACCACTAAACCACAACAACACACACAATGTTCTGTAAGCAGAGTGCATTTTCATTTTGTTTCTGAATACATGAAGAAAATGCTGGTGATTGCCTTTTGTAGAGTGAGACAAAAAGACAGCTCAACTAACTCTGTTAGGTGGCAGCTTGCCAGTGAACTCAGCCAGTACGCTTTCTCACCAGGGAGTAAGAAAAACATCCCATTGCACTCTCTAAAGGGAGGAATTTAACCACCGCAACCTTTCATGATCCAGTAGTCTTCGGTTTTGCTTTTATGGTTGCTGTAGTTAATTTTTTGATGTGTAAATTCTGTTTTTACTGCTGATAGGATGCAGATTTTACTTCAAAGTTCACTCTAAATCCCAACCGGATGTGGCAGATGCCAAAATGAAACATCCCAGTTTGAAATGAGTTGTATTCTCTCATGGCACAAGTTCATCTAAGTTCTGTATTCAAAGTTTAAACTTCTGCAATGAAGTTGTCACAAATCAGATTACAAATAAAGATTAATGATGGGAGCTATTTCGAGTGGATGTTGATTCATGGCGCGTGTTAGAAGGCTATCCATCTATCCACTCGGTTTAAAACGGTATTGATTGAAAGAGAAAACCAGAGATGTAGCAGACCCTGGAAGCAGCCAAGGATGCTGGTAGAGAAGGGCTCTTTAAGAGAAGACTGGCTCTTTGGTCATGACTCTGAAGCTCTAAAGTCAGATGCAACTAATCCATCGATGATCTTACTAATTTAACAGAGAACAAGAAGCTGATTCTAGATCAGTGGAGTGAGAATCGTTATTTTTACAGCCTGAAATGCAACACAGAGATTGTGTACCAGTGTAAGCTGGATAGATCTGCTATGGCCTGTGTGTGGGATAGACTGGTTTCACTGTTTTGTTTTGTTTTTGCATCAAGTTCATGGGTGTGTAATTAATGGAAAAAAATAAATAAATAAATAAAAGTTTATATTTTAACAAGTTATTCTGAGCACACAAACAAGCCCTCTTTTATTGAGTACTCAATAAAAATATAATAATATTAATAAATATAATAAGTATAAAAATACAAAACTATATATGTATACATATATAGTTTTATATTTGCATCATACATGAATATATTGTTTAATATTAATATTATTGTTTGTTTTCAGAGGACTCCTAAGTCACTAAGACCAAATCTGAACTATCTTAAAATGGCTGTTGCCAGCAATCTACCTCAGAATATAAAAATTTTAGAAACATTTGATGATAATGAGCTTTTAAAAAGGTATCGGCTTTGGTTTGGAGGTTATCCCAGCTCCAACT